GGATCATGAGAAACAAATATATGAGATATTTTGCATCTTCCAGTAAGTAGTATATGAAAAGTGCCTTTTTTTTTTTTTTTTTTTGTGAGGCTGGCAGGGGAACAAGGCCTCTGGGAAGTGATTGGCCTGGTGCTGGAGGCATCCAGAGTCTGTATCTTTTAGAAAGGGATGACCAGGACGGTGCTCTGATCTAACCTCAGCCCAGCTTTAGTGCTGTAGCTATTATAACTCATATTCTCCTTGGAAGCGATTGCTAAGCCCTACTTTTTACCCAAAGACTGCTATTTACACATCTTAGCTAGAGCTACAGCGCAGCAAGTCACTCAGGAAACAGGACAACTGCTCTCTTGAGAAATTCTTGTCTGCTGTCAGGTGCCTGTCAAGACTTATCTATTATCTTGGAAGTATTTTCAGTGCAATAATTAGTCTGTCAAGTTTCCTGAGGACCTTTCAAGCACCATTCCACCCCTCCTAAAGAGTTTATGGGATGTTTAGAGCCATCAGTGAATGAAAGCATCCTTTGGTATTATGATAAAGTCTATATAATTACCATTGCTTCAAATTCCCAGAATGAGCCACAGAACAAAAGCTCTTACTGCGTGCTAGCCTAATATCGCAAGGGGATAGTAACTTGGTGCACCATTACAGGGGATTTTCTGCTATATCATGACTTATGTCAGTGCAGCAATGCTTTTTGTGAGAAGCCTATTACGTGGCAATACAGATCTCAAATGATTCTATTACGTGGTAGTATATAGATCTTGAATTGACTATGATTTAAATGGTGGCACAGTCAAGTCAAAGTCTGTTCAAAAGGAAACGTAAAATAGGAATTTGTTTACTTATTTAAATAATTATTGACTTGCATAGTGTGAAGGGTCATGTAAAGCTGCTACTTGATATTAGTGTGTCTTTCAAAATTCTGTGCTAAAACTAGTCAATGCTAATATTTACATACTAGCTTGCTTAAGCTTGTTTAAATTATAAACTATTTTAAACTACAATCCTTGCCTGAAATCAGCAACTGGAAAATTTACAAAAGATGATCTGATTAGTGACAGAAAGGAAAAAAGGAAATGTTGAGCTACAGAAATTTTAATTTCAGAATGTATAAGCCAAATGAGATAGGTTTTTATGTTATAATATGCCTCCCTCGTACAAAAACAAGCACCACTTAGGTGTAGACAAAATCAAGCGAGACAGTATTTCTAGGAGCGAGGAGTTACTTATTTGCCTGAAGGACCATTAAGATGACAGCTTGCTGGGGGGGAGTCACGTGAGAAATGCCAAAACAAACAACAAACCCCATCACAGTCCAGGTCAAAATTAAACTTGCAGCAGCTGCAAGTCTGCTTTCTAAATGGCCTTTCTGTACTTTAATCTTATTGCACATATTTTCTGTTTTCCCATCAGTTTTACAGAACTAAGTCTTTTCTTCAGAATAATGACAGTATTTTCTGGCTGGGAGGCTGGTATTTGTTGCAAAACCTTTGCTTTTGTGAAAATTGATGAAGCAAACCTACCCTCTGGGCAGAGACCTAACTGTACTCTTAGACAAACTTGAATTCTTTTACATGTTCTCTTAGTAGCTCAAGAAACATGAAGTGTTCTCCTTGTCCAAACTCCTTCCTTAAGTACTTTTTCTTACTTCATCATACTTGAAGATTATAAAAAGAGGGACTTTTTGTTGTACTTACAGACTCTGTAGTCAAAACTGGTTTCAGATCTTTCATAGGCAAGTGGGTGAATGCTAACATGGTGTATGCAAGCGTGCATAGCAATTTGTCTGGTATTTCTTAATCTCACTTCAATATAATTATGTAATTAATTCAATTCATTGGACCTATTTTAATGACTTTTGTGGGTTGCAAAATAAGTGGTGTACCAAATTGCTGTTACATTAGCTGCTGTAATATCAAATGCAGCTGAAATTCCCCTTATCATTACTAAACACTTACCACACTTTGGTTTTCACCAGGATGAGACTGGCTGGAATCTGCTACTTTCTTTCTTTTTTTTTGAAGTAGACCCAGTCCAGGCAAAACGGGAAAAAAAAATAAAAAATATACATATATATATAAATCTTGAGCTTCATAAGAAAGATCTGAATACAGAATATGAACGACAGTAGTATAGAAGATCTCTCAGCAGAGTGAACTATGCCTTTGTATGCACAGTGGGTTGGATGGATCCCCTCATTTCATGTTTACTGTTGAATACAGCAGTAATTGAACTTTTTTGGCATGGATCCTGTTACCTGCTTTCCTGAGGACTGGTGGGTTTTCGTCTTCAAGCCCTGCCTCTACATAGAGAGCTGAGGCACATTTTGAAAATTCAGGCTAGTAGAGAATGCAAGTGGTTTATTCTCATGGTAAATGGTGTGACTCTGCTGTATGCAATATCATTATAGTGTTAGGGAACACAATCCCTATATGACCTAGTCCCTAGCTAGGAGGCAACCATTTCTTGTGTTGAGTCATGGCCTGTGAAGTCCGTGTTTAGGTACCCTAGGGCAGATTAGGGTGGTGGCTATCGATCTTGTACAGTGTAAGGCTGTTTACTGCAAAGCCCTGTTGCTACCTTTTATTTAGAGTTTTGCTGAATGATTTGCCTGTGGGAGATTACTTTGTCTGGAAATACCATGAGTAATGATTGCTTCACAGAGGAGGAGGAGGTAGTCATCAGTTACTTGATCTCCAGGCAATTTCCTTAGCACCATTACATTGTTATGTATCCAAACAAGATACCTTTACTCTTGTTTTAGTTGAGGAACCTCTTAACTGGCACAATGTCTGCAATGCAAATGCCACCATTACGTTGGTGCTTGAGCTAGGATTCAGGAAGCTTTCCAGAAGCAAAAGTTTAGCATCCTGATATGCAATGTAATAACACTTTCAGACACACATCCTACTATTTCTTTGTAGTTGTACATTTCCTGGTCAATTAGCATGATACAGTTCACATCCACTGACTGACCAACCGGGTGCCTACAGAATCCTATAATTCAAAGAACTCTTAGGCCAGCATAAATTTTGCACAGATGATTTCACAAATCTGAGTGCAGCAGCTCCCACATTTTACTAAACTTCTTATCTTCTTTGGAATTTCATCTAGGGATCAGTCATAGTAGAGGCTGCTATGAAAGGCCATTATGCAGAGAAAATGAAAAATCTTAATTAACCCTTGGTAAACCTGCTACAAACTTTTCACATCACAGAAAGAGAAACAAAGGCATCCAATGGTAAATGACCAATATTCATTGATGCAGCAGATACAGCTAAAAACTGTATGGCTTAGAATTTCTAGGGTGCCTCTGCTCCCAGTTTTTTGGTGGTAATGGTGTCGCAGCAGGGCATACACTGGAGTGAACAAGTACTGTACATAGAAAGCTGCACTGTGAGGTTCATGATGTGAGCACTGAAGAAAAGCATAGGAAGGATTTTCCTGCATTGCTTCTTGTGCTGGCTCAGATGTTGGGGACATCATCAATATTCATAGAGAGATGCAACACCTTTACCTTGTCTGATTGATCTGCCATTAGAACATCTTGTGCTAGGATATGAATGCTTTTGCCTTTAAGTCACTACTTAGACTTTTTCTTTTTAATTTGTCTTACTTAAAAATCGGTATGCAAAACTCTACATAGAATTATATTTTTCTAATAGTTTCTGAACTTTGTTTCAGTATATAAATGGGTGTGTGTATGTGTGACTGTGCATAATTAAGTATGAAAAAGGCCTATGCAGAGCTTGCCTCGGTTCATCTGAATTCTCAGTCTCACCTGTAGTTTTTACCCCGCTTCCCTGAGAATTGCAGTGGGAAAGAAATAAGCTATACCACATGATCATCATTATTGTTGATTAAGCTCTTGCAAGGATTAAGCTCTTGCAAAGAAAAGGTTTCTGCGGTCAGTCATCCCTAACTGAAAATATTCCATTTCCATTGCTTCATTTACACTTCTCTCTGTGGGTTGTTAGCCAATGTTTTCTAGATTTGAGCACCACAGATGGTCTTCAGCTGCCACTTGGAGAGCAGTGATTCTTGAGTATTTGTAATTCAGGTCACTGCAAACTTTATGGGAAAGATCAAATTAAATTGCACCCTACGAGAGTTTGGTAGCTTGCTGGCTGGGCTTATTTTAAATGGTGTGCAAACCTACTAAGAAACATTGCCTGATTAATGGAAATCACTTTGTGCATTAGTTGTGCATTTTCCCCAAATTAAAGGCATTATTCTTCATTTGGTGTGAAAGTGCCATAGCCTGTGTTGCAAAACATAGCCCAAATCCATGAAATGAAGACAAAGATATCTCTGATTTCATGTCCCCAGCCTCCAAACTCCCATTCTGTTTCACTTGAACTAAGGTTAATTTAAGGAACAGAAATATCAAATAGATTTAATATCTGGAAAGAAGTTAATTTTAACTAAAAAAACATGAAATCAAGACTGCAGAGTACTCTTAGAAGGACTATTCTTAGTAACAATGATATTCTAACACCTCTTACAATCCTTTTGTTTTCTCTTTACTCTATCAACTGATTTCTTCTGTTTTCTCTCATCACCTTCCCTCTCTGAAGACCTTTCTGGTTGCAAAGCTGTGTCCTTTGTGACACTTATTTCCAATTTGGCTTTCTAAAACCAGGGTGAAGGCTGCAGTGTGGTCTTTTTAGACCAAATCCTCCAAAGAAGCTGAGATGATTAGCATGCACTTGGTTAGCTTTAGACAGACAAGAGCTGAACTGAAATGATGAGGAGTAAAAGCCCAGCTGGATGACAGCAGGTAAGTCATTTTAAGTTGTCTGACAATTTGGATCTGGACTTCTGCGAGAGCATCAGCTACGACATTTTGGCTGTCTAGACAATAAAATTCCCATAAGCTTAACTAAAGCGAGTAATTAAATATATTTCTGCTCATGAAACATATAGGTACCTCTTCCATTGCTTTGCTTTTCGACAGCATTTCTAGTGGAGCTCCAGATATAGGATCTGTTGCTACTTACTTGGTTTGATTTTGGGCCAGTCTGCTGCTTCTATCCTGTGGTCTTCGTACTTCTTGCCTGAATAGGCAAACAGGTAGCGGCTGATTTCTGCTCGTCCTCGCAGATTGAAGTATGTCAGCTTGTACTGTGGCATGCTGGATCCCTGAAAGGGAAGACACCATGTTGCTTTAGATATGAGCAGCCCAACTCCTTTTTACAAAAGCGCACCATATGCTTGTTTTTGAAATACATGCTTGTACAATGCAAAGGACATATTACGCTAAACCATGATGCGTTGTTCTTTGCAACCATTGCATTAGTCATACTTCTTTGTTCTGCATTTCTCAGCCACAATATTCAGTCATGGGCGGTGACAGTTAAACCTGCAGTTCCTCCTTGTGTATCTCCAGAAAGATGTCTTGATTTTTTTCAGACATATTAAGAACTTCCAGCTTTCTTTTACTTTTCTTGTGACTCCAAACTCAGACCATATTTATGAAGAGTTTTTCAGAGTGCAAATCTAAAATCATATACTGTAACAGAAGATAGTTGCTGTCCTGAACAGCAATTTTGTTCAAGCCTGCCCTGCTCAGCCTCTACAGCTTATGGAGACCTTCATCCAAGATCAAATCATTGTACAAGGATGGTGCAGGAAAGGTGAACAGCTAAGGCCACTTTAAACCAAAAGTGAGCTTTTAAACTCTGCACACTTAACACCTTAATAAGAGAGATCTATGAGCTCAGCTGAGACTTAAATGTACTGTCTAAAGGAAACTAAAACAATCATCCACCTCCTCACCCAAAGCAAACCCCTTTCTCATTTTGGCCTTAAAGTAGACCTTGTGTGTCATTTACCATTCTTTCATATCCATCAGATTCAGGGTGTTATTAATAAAGTCTGCAACTGAGATCCTGCACTAGGAAAGAAAGTGAACTCTGTTTTTAATGAGTAGGTGCTACTACATAACCTTACAATAGAAACAACCCCCTGTTTAGTCATCTTGTCTTTGAAAATATATGCTTGAGGGTAGATGTATCATCAGCTTTCACTTTAGAGGGAGAGGCTCTTTGTTCAGAAACTGGAAGCTCTTGCACTTGACTCACACTGAAAAGAGCAAACTGCCTTTGCCACTTACTCCTCAAAAGACAAGACATCTATTTTCTATCCTCAGAGCAGCAAAAGCGAAAAAAAAAAAAAAAAAAAAAAAATTCACAGCAAATGAACACACTGGAGGCTGCTTAATTTGTGGTGAAAGTTACCTGCTCCCCTATGGCACACAGCAGGGCCAGAAGAGATTATTAGTAAATGGAGATTTTTCACAGTTGATGGCCCAGCAGAGAAGCAGGAGCAGAGACAGAGTTACTCATGGAGGTATCTACAAGTGCTTCAAAACAAAGACATAACTACAATTATTTTTTTTTTTAGTGAAGCAAGTGTGTTCATTTGCACTGTATAAAACATGGAAGCTGCAGGCAAAATGAGTTACATTAGGATGTGATTAGTTTTCTAGATGTGTTAATTACCAGCAAATACGTTTATCTGCTGCTTGGCAAAGGCAGCTCACAGATTACAAGTGTAACTCTTTCTTTCTCGAAAGAGAAAAATTTTGACAATTCCAATTTTTCAAGCAAGTTTTAGGTAAGTGGCAAAATTTTACTCCTCTATTTTCAAATTTTGTGCCAAGATTTATTACTTATTAGGATTTATTGTGCTTATATAACACTATATATTATTATACTTTGCTGTCTATTTATGCAGCATAAATATGGATTATATGTCTACAAAGTTAAGGTAAGAAGAGAGGATGAGATTGTAGCTTTTTTTATTTCCCCATTTGTCCCTGCTTCTGATTTTGGGTGGTCATTTGAGAGTGAGGAATGACATTTTTAAAAGAGCATGTGTTATCTGAGGCTCAGATGAGACATGACTTAGTGATCTGGGAGTAAAAGGGGGAAAAAAAAATCACTTCATTCTTTCAATTTTTTTTTGAGGCGAGTGAATACTACTGATTCAATCTGCATTTGGAGAGGACACAACCTTTAACATGCAAAACCCACAGTGTCCGCTTCCCTTCTTTAGTCCGCAGAGATTTTTTCCATAAACAGCAATAGAAGTTCCAATGCTCTGGACTTAGTACATGGCTCACGCATGGCTCAGTTTCTCGGCTACCTCTAGCCCACTTAGCCCTGTGTTAGAGGAAAGTTGTTGACAGCTGGAGGGCATTTAAAAGCACAAGAATAGAAGAATTTAAGGTAGAGTGATGAAGAAGGCAGTAGGCAGCTGTATGTAGAGTGGATTGGAGATAAGTGAACCATAACGTTTCTGGTGGCGAGTGTTCTGAAAGAGTCTGATTCTTACTGTGGGAGAACTTTATATACAAAGACATGTGTAATCAGGAATAGTGAGATGATGTAAAGAAAAGGGAATTTTGGCTGAAAATCAGGAAGTCTTTCTGGCTGTTGTAGTAGACTGGAATATTTTGGTCTGTCAAGGAAGCAGTGGAAACTATTGTTTGAAATGTCTAAAGCAAAGCTAAACAAAATTCTAATGAATACATAGTAAGGAGTAATCAAATATTTGCTGTGCTAATACACATTTAAGCTTATGAATTTCATCTGTGAACAAAAACCCAACCTTACAAGGAGTTTACCAAAAACATTCGACATTTTAAAGGCCTCTATAGCTCTTATAGTAAGCATGTTTTTGTAAATGTTTGTCAGTTTTATTTTTTATTTGTATTCATTATGAAATGTCAGGAGTAGCTCTTCCTAAACAATTCCACATAGGTTTCTAAAGGAAAGAGTTGGTTGTGTTCAGAATAGCTTTTGCCAAACATACAAATTAAGTTGTTGGTAACTGTCCTTATCCTCCTTTGCCCCATTCTTCCAGTGTGTTTTGTAAAGGATCAGAACATGAGGCACAAATTAAAACCATTTAAAAAATGCCCAAAGTGATTAAATGTTTGAAAAATGTCACTTCTAGGGGGAAAAGGTCTATTTTTGGTCTTTGAGTTTTCTGCTTTTGTTTTTATCGGGGGCATAGGGACATCTTTAAAAATATTTTTAATTCTCTTTCTTTTTTGGGGTTTAGTCATGGCTTAAAAGCACTGGAAGACATTGACTCGGGGAGAATCTTAGTGCCTAGGCTTGCAAACATTTAGCCACCTGCTTAGTGTTATTAAATCTGTTGGGGTGAATTCATTGCAAAGTCAAGTGTGTATAAATGCAAGAGGGGGCTGCTTTACCTTCCACCAATAAATGTGCCATGTAAGCAGTGGTTTTTTTCAATTTCTAAAGACATGAATACATGTCTGGATTCCACCTATACACCTGCCTTGCCCTACATTGATGGTCAGCACCTGAGGAAACTTCAGCTCCTGTTTTATCACGTGCAAGTTTCAAAGCAGTGAACTCAGCTAGTCTAAATTTACTATTAAATTAGCTTTAATACTTTAAAGTTGCTGATCCACTTAGGTGATTTTCCAGCTTTCCTCTCTGGCTTTCTTAAAGCCATCTTAACTGGCTTTAACATACCTTTAAACAAAGGATTAGTGGATCTCATGATTAAATTCAAGTTTTGGAGGCAGTCAGTGACAAAATCAAACAGAAAGTCTGAGAAGAGGTGTAAAAATTACACCCTCCAAGTTACTTGTGAGTCAAAATTCAGGTTGAAGTTGCAAGTATCTCAGACATCTTAGGCTAGATTTCAAATAATTTAAGACTATTCATGTTTTTATGGAGATACTGTATTAGCTGATGAATTTGGAATGCTTTTATTCCAGTTGAAGCAGGGTTGAGCAATCAATTTGAAAATTTCAAGCAAGATTAGAGTGAAAAACAGAGCCCAGGAAGGAATCGGCATCATTCTCTGAGAACTAAAATGCTGGATTTCAGATAACTCTAGTACAGAAAAGAAAAAGCACAGGCAGACCGGAAACTGTATGAACGTACCAGGAGGATGCAGAAGTAAACAGCGCTGGTGTTTGCAAGGTAATACTTTTGCTTTTACTGGACAACAGCGTATGTGTCCTCGCTCTGTTTTAAAGTAAATCACAAGTGCACCACCTGCATTTTGCCTGCTCAAGGTGGGGTTTGGGTGCATGCCCAGTGCAACCTCTGAGCAGGCTGCCTCTTCCGGCCGGTGCGTAGCCATGCATGCCCAGCCTGAGCCTTTGCCCCATGAAAGTAAACACCAGAACTCTGCTGGAATTCGTAGAGGAACAGTGTTTCATCTCTGTTTTAGAAAATCCAGCCCTTAAAGTAATAAAAGGAAATACTCCTCAGGCTAGTAACAGACACCAAAACCTGGATGCAGATACTTAATACGTGAATTCAGAAAAAAAAAAAAAAAGAGGTGAAAACAAAAGGCAGCACTCTTTCATTTTCTTGGGTAAGCTTATTAATATTAGAGGTGACAGGCAACAGAAAGCTTTTCCCTGAGCTGCAGGCAGAGGGGAGAAGCCAGCTAAGTTGAACTATTTGTCCACATCCATCCAAAGGACCTCATGGATAAGTCCACTTTAATTGTACTTTGTGCTGTGAGAAATTGTTTTCTTGCCTTAAGGTTTCATCATTGTTAGAGGATTTAAAAAACCCCAACTGTTCCCTCTAGCAAGCAAGACTGGTAGGGTTGGGTTAAGGTTCATCTGGGTATTTCTAAAAATCTGGGATTTGAACTGTCTGTGTGGAAGAGATGATGCATTGGCACTGTATGTATATTTATTTAACATGAGGGTTCTTCATTAATTTAGGAGACACTTACTGAAAGTACTGCAGCTAGCCCCTGACACAATGCTGCCCTGGCTGTGGACCTGCCAAAAAGGGAAAGCTGGAGGCCTCAGCTGTCTGATGTCATCATCCTTGCTTGAATTGTACCTGGACCAAGACATAGTCCTTGAGGGAGCTCTGTCTGATTTCCCTGTGCTAATACAACTTCCAGCAGCATCTGTGAAATTGGGGCCTGTGATCAGCCACCAGGAGAGCAGACCAGAACTCAAGATCTCCTGGAGGAAAGCCAGTGCTTGCTGAAGGGCATGAGAAGGGAAGGTGCTGCCATGTCTGACAAGAAGTCAGTCTCACCTCTGTGCTCAGCAAGATTGTGGAGCAGATCCTCCTGGAAACTATGCTAGGGCACATGGAAAATAAGGAGGTGATTGGTGACAG